TATCAGAATAATAAACATAGGATATATATTTTTGATATAATAAAAATTACTTAGCTTGAATAAGATGAAAGAGAAAGGCATGCCTATATTTGTATACAATATCGACGAGACATCTAAAAAATCCTCAGAACGAATGAAAGGCAACAAATTTAGTCCAGATGCCCCATTCAGATTACTAGTATGTGGAGGCTCCCATAGCGGAAAAACTAACATGGTTATAAATCTTATGCTTGGTAACAAACTACAACGTATGTTCAAGGGGAAAAAAGGTCAGCGGTATATTAGAAATGATGACCTTGTATTAATAGGCAAGCATTTTGAGCCTAAATGGCAACTTGTACAAAATAGCTACCAGATCTTTGCAAATAGCCCGAAACCATATCAAGAGGATGTTACATTCAAAAGGTTATCTTCAGATAAAATTCCAGATATAACTAAATTCACACCAGAACGAAGTACAGTTGTTGTGTTTGAGGATTTATGTGCTGAGCCAAAGAAAGTACAAGAACGAATTATTCCGTACTTCATTAGTGGCCGGCATCAAAATATCTCACCCATATATGTGAGCCAGAAATATACACAAACTCCTAAAATTATCCGTGAAAATCTGAGCCATCTTGCATTATTTAACAGTGGGGGGTCCCGAGACGACATTTATAGAATTGTGCGACAATATATGGATAATCCGAAAAAAGCATCCAAAATTATTGATAAACATTTGCGGGATCAAGATTTCGTGGTCTTTGACTTTACTAAGGCAGTTGATGATTCTCTCGCAATTAGATTGGGTTGGGACACACCATTGAAATTAGATAAATAGAATAAGGCTTGACAATTAATAATTATTTTTTCTGCTATAATTTTGTCATATTAATATAAACACATCCTACTCGCCACTTTTTATATTATTGAGAAGATGCACGTCTCCAGCTGGTGTTGAAATTGAGATGAGTGTGAAAAAAATAAACTCGCCATATTTTTGAAAAAGTGCATTCTATGTATTATCTACAATAGGAGATTTTTGTGTTCCGTAAAATAGGCTCATATGCAAAACTTTAAATATATATTATACTGTTAATTCCAAAAGACGTTTCTGAAATCTATCCTGTAATTGGTTTTTTTTTCTATCTATCCAATCATACGGAATATAGTATTCTTCATATTTATTATTAATAAAATGGCTAACCATATTAGAGTTACATCTCCTATATATTGCAATTTTCTCAGCATTCCACAGATTAAACTGATCTCGAGTTTGAGGATTTTTCACTTTACGAGAAGTTAGGCCTAGAAATTTCTCATCATCTGGAATATTATCATTTGGTAAACTCAACCAGGCAAGTCATGCATTTGATGGCTCCCTTTCTTTGAATCATCTCCAAACACTTTGTATAATCCTTGCCGAACCATTATTAGTTTTTGCTTTGCTACACTCATTATCCTAGTGATATTGCATCAAATCTACTGGTTCAACTTTTTCAATGTATCTATGGATAGCAGAAGCATATACTTTCTTCAGTTTCACATCATTGACTTGAATCAATTGCCAGCAACCGAAACATATAGCTATATGACTGTTATGAATTCTCGGTCTACGATAATCAGAATTAACAAATTTACCTTGACCAAATGATAAGAATAGAGCGTATCGGTGATAAAAGCTAAATTTTCCCTTATTTATTAAATTCTGTAATAGAATCCTTACTCGTAATGACCATTGAAATGGTGTCTCACTATGTTTTATAGTGGATAAATTATCGAACAATCTTTTATTATCGAATACTTGGTTAAGTTTATTTCCATAAGATCCGGTATAATTTAAAATATACGATTGCACATATTTCATATCAAAACCTGGACGAATATTAAAGGATTTAGGTAATGCTCTATTTTTCTTATCAAGAATAGTTGCAATATCGAAACCAGACATAGTTAGTAATTATAATAATTTAGCGATTTATAAACCTATTAGATTTGGTTCTTTATTCATTCTTAAATTGCAATTCATTTTTTGTGCATTTAAAATAACTCATATTAAAGATTCAATAATATATAAAATAGCTAAATTACGCAACAAACTATCTTATTATATAGGGTTCTTACCTAATGAAGTACGCCTACCAATAACAGAGGAGGATAGACAGCTTTTTCGAAAATTAATAGCAGAGCAAGAAGAGATAACAGATGTTGTAATGGATGAGTATCGATTTTTACTTCATTATGGACATAACTTTAAGGGTGGTGAGTTAATACATATTTTGTAGATTTTGATGATAACAGAAAAAATATGCGAAAAGGTTCTGGTAGAAGCGCCTTCAACAAACATATCAAAAAAAATTCTGGCCCATATTGAAAAAAGATTCGAAGGTTTACCACTTGCTCCAGTTGTCATAGTCGAGTAAAAACAAATATGGAAAAAATAGATTATTAGAATGTGCTTTTGTGAACCAAACTATTAAGTTCTTTTGTTGTATTTTTGCAGACTGAACAAACCACTTAAGCCAAAGTACTGAGCCACCAGCAATGATGATTATGCCCTTTCGAATACACAACACACATAGTTAGAGGCCCTATCGTCGAGAGGTGAAGACTCAAGCGAAATTTTTTGCATAACTATATATACCTGTAACAAGTAACCTGGATAGCTGATCTATCAACACAAAAGCGATTCAACACCAATTAACAAATTTGAAATGCTATACATACCCGGTTTAGGTTGAATATAACTTTATTCATCGATAGTAGTATAGGGACATTGGTAAGGTATTGCAAAGCAATGAGACAAGTCTCTTAAATTTTGTTCATATATATTTTTTTCTGGTGGATACATTCAATCACTCTCTGTAGTGTGGTTCAGTTGTTTAGGAAGTCTGCGTCAACTTCTCCCTAATACACGCCCCACATTGAGGATGACGATCACGCCCAGGATAAAGGAAAATGTTATGTGTTTATCTAAGTTTCAAGGTGGATACATTCAAACTATTTCTTATCTTGTAGTTCGGTGGACTAACCGCAGGAAGCTCATCGGGTCTTCCTCTCCTCACTACGTAGACAATTATAGTCTGACAATTGCACCCTCTAAAATTGGGTTTTTATAAGTGAGAAAAAACAAAGTCAGAGGCCCTATCGCCTAAAGTTATAGACGAAATTTTTTGCATGGCTATTGGGAAGAAGTATAATGTCAAAAAAGCAAGGTGGATACATTCATATCATTTACATGGTGTAGCCTGGTGGTTTAAAACCTGGGAAGTCTGTTGGACCTTCCTCTCCTTGCATATGCCCATGTAGAAGAATGACGATCACACCCTCAAAGCAGTGTTTTTTATAAGTATAAGAAAACTACATTTATAAAGGATAGATAGATCGTGTATTTTTTGCGGACCAGATTATCACCTTCACCAAAGTACTAGATTACCTAATGGTAATTATGAGCCCGTTGAGTCTCACAACACACGAAGTCAGAGGCCCTATCGCCCAATATTAGAGACGAAATTTTTTGCTTGACTAAGCATACCCACACAAATAGCTCCAGCAACTGTCTTATCAACACAAAAACTATCTAGCATAAGAAAGAAAAGATTGGTAAAAAATTTTAGATAAAAAATGAAAAAAAAGATTTTATATACGTACTTATTTGAGCCTCATGCATGTAACAAGGAATGTTTCAAGTTGGTTATTGTTATGTGGTTCGCTATATTTGGTGTTGATTGTGAACATCTCTTTTTTTAGACAATAGTTTGAATTCAAGGGGCGGTTTACTTGGCAACCTATAAATATTTGTATGTTGTGACGGTGTAATTTGGTATTGTTACAAGCACTGGTCTAACAAGGGTCGCTGTTCACCTAAAACCTTAGTATAGAACTACTAAATCTAATAGAATCTACCTCTCTTGCTACACCCTAATTGGTAGGCGTCGATTGAGGCGTGAATTGGTTTGGTCCGAGGATAGAGTGTTCTTGATTACTGCAGTGTTCATGGGGTCAAGACTCTGGATTGACCTTACTCTCTATGCTTGATTGATAGTACTAAGGCTACTTTTCAATTCTCTCTTACAATGGCTACTATTTTAGCTTCTCTACTTTTCTAGTGCGCCTGGGTTCTAACCGACTATCGGGTTTCGAATTTCGGAGTCACGTGTCATGATATCACGATTCAGGATGATTACGTATATAAGTTTATTTAACAATAGTGTCAATCACCAGCTTAATCAGTTTATTAACTCTATATAAAAGGGGTCGATTACTAATACGATCTTTCTCTTTTACTTTTAACGAACTATCGATAACGGGTTTTTACTAATCACGGGGACAAGAAATATGATATATGACTTTATGTAATGATTTATTAAGGAGCGGGAACCTTGAAACTACTACTCTTATACTTTCGTAGTTATGAACTCAAGGAAAGTTGTCTCCCTATTTTTGTATGAAACTTCAAGTCTTTAAATACATTTTCATTTTATAAAACTTTACTGACATATCTGCTTTTTTCTCTATTACTATCATTACTACTAGTACTTACGCAACTACCATTACTGCCATTATTAGCAGATCTGGCAGTTTTGGTAGTTTGTAGCTATTTTTGGCTAGATCATCTCGAACCACTTCATCGATGATCTTTGACGAATTTTCCCTCTTACAACGTCCGCAATATTTTTATTCGAATTTTCGATGTTCTACGTATTAAATATCAGATGTTCGATCAACATATGATTTATATACAAATATGTGTGCTATTTTAATATAACCATGTACACAAATTCAAAACTTCGAACACGATTTTTTCTACCAATGTGCGTATAACACGTATGACACAAATACATAATTTTAATTTCGTGGTCCCATGAGACCGTTAAGTCATGTGACCGATATTATCAACAGTACTTCAACAGTACTTTAACAGTGTAGTTTATGACTTTTAATACATAAGAATTATTGTAAAAAAAAATTATTCATTACTATTAGCATTAATAAAGCGAACAGTATTATAAGTTGCACAAAATTGGGTACGTATAAGGGTTTGTGTTACTCTCCTGCAGAATTAATTCTCACGGTCAATTTTTTTATTAACGAATATTACGAATAACAGATAATATCTAGACCCTTTTCCTTACTTTATACAATCCCACGATAAGAATGGGACTCTGCGAAGCAGGACACTTTATATCTAAAAAGGCTATAAGGGCAATGAGTATAACGTTCTTTATCAGTAGTTTTATCAAAATTCATATGTTGCAGGAACTTGGCATTCCCAGATCATCGAGATCGTTGACTTTTTTTACTTCACAGGAGAGATCGTCAAATCTAAGGGGGGTTAATTTTACCAGAAAAAATAATGAAATAGATTCAGCATCTGGAACTTATGATCGAGCGGAATTGCTTTGTTAAGTGTGATCTGGTAGTGCTAGAGTAATGCGATTACTAATCATGTACTTTTTTTCTGGCAGGTTCTCAGACCGAACGAATATGAAGTATAAAATAAGCAAGCTCCCGCCCAAAAGATAAGTTAGCAATAACGTTATTTTTTGCTCATATATATTTTTATTTAATTTACTTGCCTGTATTTTTGAAAAATAATTTATCATTTAACAGAGCCTAAGAAAATCGAATTTTTACTTACTATATTTTTTTTATTAGAAACGAAAAATAAGCACTAATGATAACACCACCTCAAAGAAAAAGAAAAATAAGACCCCCAACTATTCTAAATCAAAACAATACAAGCCAAGACAATGTTTTTTGTAATATTCACGAAATTTTAGCTTTTAGGAAAATTTAAATAGTGCATCAATGTATTTTATTTATCCTGTTTTTACTATCATCAGGTTTGGGTTTAGGGTCTAAGGTTAGAGTTAGTAGAAGAATAGGTCATATACTAAAATTTTAAGAAATTTTATTTTTTTTATATTAAAATGCAAAATATAGTTTTTTGGGTGAAAATTTCAATAGCATTGAATTAATAAAGCTTTGATCATGCAAAAATAATATAATTGTACAAGAAATATTAATAGGCCAATAGTTATGATATCTATATTTACTTTATCACAAATAATAGATGATATTATAAACTCACGGTGTTGTGACAAATGTAATCAAGTAAAAATTAAAGTTTCGAAAAACATTTTGTGATTTTTCGAATGAGAAATACTATTGAACCTCTATACTTAATTAAAAATTTCAATATTTCTCGCAGTATTTTTCTTAGTGTTTTTCTTTCTGCCACTTGACTTTTTGGTAGTACTTTTGGAGAATGTGGGGGTAAGATACGAGGAGCACGAAAATACTTGAACTTTTTTGATGAATCAACTAATGGGTCTGAATCATCTTCCTTGGCTTTATGCATAATTTCCACGGTTTTATTCATTAGCAACTAGATCGTTAAAGTATATAAGTAAATTGAAGTATAAAAACATATAGATTAAAAAGATTTACTTACAATCATTATAATACTTTATTTATACAGCTAATCAGCTCATTTACAACAAATTCTGTGAGGTATATCATACTAAAAATCTAGAAGAAAATCTCAGTAATTTAAAAAAGTCAAAATCGTAAACATTAATATTGACAGTTACAAACCTTAGTAGATATATAAAGTTGATTATCAACCAATCTAGTAGCATACGAATCTATATGGTTGTCTGAACGGATTTTAGACATCTAAATTATTTATATATTTTTCAATATAAATTTGTAAAATACCAGATATCACAAAAGCTATAAAATTCATATCAAAAATTTTCTCTTTCTTTGAAGTTGGTAGATTATCGTAAGTATATTGGATTTCATATATGTTTTCTTGAAGGCTCTTATTTGTGTCAAGATCGTATTTAACTGCATCTTGTATCATGCTATCCTTTGCAATCTCTATATTTCCTATTAATAAATCATTATGAAAGTTAAACTAATCAACATTAGCTATTTAATATCAACCACTTAACATCAGTCATAATCACCGGGTTCAATCTTAAGAATGTCATCCCGGAAGTAAATATCTAGTTGTTTTCTGCGTAATTTTGCATCAATTTTATATAATACAGACGATGAACTCTCAGATGATGAACCGGCTCTAAGAGCGCAGAAATATTGAATCGCCAAGCGATCAATGAGAGAATAATAAATGGATGCTGATTTATGATTTTCGCTATTCATTTTAGTTAAAGGATTCTTTGATGATAGCTCTATATAATCTAGCCTAATATAGGATATAACAAATTATTAATCTATTAATAACCAATAGTCATTGCCTATAATTTTGTAGAGTTACTTACCAGTTATCAACAGTTAACAGGATCCATTTCTTCATATAAAAGAGTGCATCATCAAGTTTTAACTGCCATTGCATAGATAATTGCATTTCTCTTAATAATCGTACTGTCTGAGCATTTGTTAGTTCTTTAAACATATTTTTTAATTCTATCGGCACTTCTACAATACTGTGAACATAACAAATTTCTACTAATTCTTCGAAGTCTTCCACTTCCATGTAACCATTTAAAAGCCAAGCATCGTCTCTATCAAGAATAAGATGGTTTCCATTCCAGAAGCCATTATGGGTATATCATCTAAGAGATCTTTTATAATTGTTCCACTTTTAAGTATAAGGCGAGGTCTTGAAGAGTAAAATGATTGTGAAGTTGATGATTGAAAGGTTGATGATCGTAAAGTTGATGATTGAAATGATGTGGGACCAGATGGAATCCATGAATCACTATCATCTTCCACCATGTCTGAAGTTTCTGGTTTAGTTTTATCTTCATTTATTCCACGTGGACATTTTAACTTACGATGGTTATCTGTACTCTCTAATCGTCTCGTCACGTTCTCTCTCACCAGGTGTCTCTGAATATCTTGTTGGAGTGTCGAGCGTATAGCATAAGTAGTAAGTTCCTCCTACAATAGCAGAAGAGTAGTAAACATATTAGCGTTTCCATTGCATCATCTTGGCAGATCATGTACATACAACTAAAGCTGAGCATTCACACAAAGCCTCAATTTTCTGTTTTCGTGCTGAGGTGGCACTTTTCCAGAAATTGTTGACTAAGTCCAATTTTTTTTCTTTCTATCAATGAAAGAATGATTAATAAAAGATTTTTAAATTCTGAGTTGTAGTTTGGTTGCAAGGACAGAACCCCCGAGACAATACTCATGCACTCCCGAGCGAAATCAAGAGTATTGGGGATTGATAGAACAAAACTCTGTCTGAAGAGCTATTCTTTTCAGACCTGTCATTCCAACCAAGAAAAATAATTAATGCACCTTCGAAACTGCCCGAGACGAAACTCATACACACTCGAACGAAATCAAAAGGTGTTTGGGTAGGAAACAACAATTCGGCGGGACGGAACCACCCAAGGCAAAACTCAATGCACCCCCGAATGAAATTAGGAGTGTGGGTGATTGAATGCAGAACTAAACCCCATCCGAAAAAAGTTATTACTCTTCGGACCCATCCAACCGTCACTAATAAAGAAAAAGCTTAACTTGCATTGACGTAATTGACTTGCTAGCTCGTTCAACTGCAATCTCAGGTGAATCTTCACTATTAATTATGGCTAAGAGATTGTAAATGTATCATTTATGTTCATTACATTTATCAGCAAAGAAATCATCACACTGTTGTCAATACAATAGGAAAGTTAACAATAACCAGTCATGGTCAAGGGTGAAGTAGTCATCGTCCAATGTGATTCCTATTGAAAATGTAAAACTCTAAACACCAAAGAAGATAAAAATACCATAAAACCATAAAATATATAACCTTACCATCCATGTTCTTTTGTCAAAAAAAATACTCTAGAGTACAAAAGTTTATTCTGGCCGAAACATATGTAATTCTGAAGTTCAATGCACATTTTGCATGTCGGGTCACCTTAATGTTGAATGCGTAAAGTATGCATGTCTTCTTTCCGTTATTGTCTTGCCGCCATTCAGAAACTAGTGATGTGCATCATGTTAACGGTAATATTCTTAATTATTCCCATGCACACATGCAAGATTCAAGGGTTAACTTACCCAAACTGGCAATTTTCAACTTCAAGCACGACATTCCTATATGCATTCATGCGCAGTCATACTGGTAGTCGCAGTCAGGAATTTTACTAAATTAGGAAATCGCATTCTAGAATAATTCCTGTATCATCCCATCAATTTGATTGGCTGTGTCACATTTTTTTTATGCTGTGGGCTCTCTCGGTATTTTATTTATTCATTCGATCAAACGATATACGAATAGCTAATATTAGACAATTTAGGTAGCGCACCCTGTTCAACAGAAACACCTATACGTGGCTAAAATTTTTTATTATACAAATCTGTAGTGTGTTTGTGACCCATTTACAAACAAGCTATATGTATAGTGATAAGCCTCATAATGATAAGGCCAAACTTCTATATGTGACATTTCGAATTTATTGCCAATTTAATATATATTGATATTACAGAAAAACGTTAACTTTATTTTGGAGTAGCAAAGCCACGAATTACAATTTACATGAACTTGTGTGTGGGTAGGGTGTTTATAAACTGCAAATTCATGAAAAAAATGTAATATAGAGTGTGATCTCGAGGTTATAGTATCACGTAATAATGGCATAGTAATAGCTGATTATTTTGATTTATTTATAATGCTAAATATTACGTGAGTGATATTTTTTTTACTTAACTTAGAAATTGTTAACACTGTAAAAGATCTGACTCGTACTATTTTATTCTCACCAATGGCATCAAAAAGGTTGTAAATTTTTCGTGCTCGTTCTGTTTTCTTTCTAAGTGCATCATCACTAACCTCTTTGGAAATTTGATTTCTAACTTTGTCATTTACTAGAATTTTGGCAACTTGCTTTTTGTGAAATTTCTTATGGTATTCTAGGCATTTTGTAAGATTTAATCCAAAATTATAATATTTTTTAATAACTTCTTGGTTCGATTTTCTATTATCATCTTCAGCACTAATAAGTTCTTTATATAAGTTGAGAAAATTAACTGGATCAGGATCATTTTCA